TTTTTACACAAAAATTGAGGTAAACCTTCACAAACTGAAGCATGATCCCACTTACATCCAAAAAAAAATATAATGATCCTCTTTGGCCTCTTTGCATGTGTATGCTATTTGATAGGCAAAAAAAATTAACATTTTGTGAGATTTACGGAAGTAATGGAGATTTTACATAAATAAATCTGGAGATAACGAACGGTATTCAAACAAAACAAATCATGAGCAAAGTAAATACGGAGCACTAAAATATCATCGGTGTAATCAGGTGCCATGGAGCCAAGTCCTTTTATATTTCCATACCAAAACCAAAGCATAACATTTTTTGTTAAATAAAACAATTCCTTAATGAAGGTGTAATTATTTTTTCTGTCGGCAATGGATGACGTTGCTCTTGTATCACAATTTCCTGTGTAATCCGGAGATCCCTTGAAGCCTCGTTTTAGCGATACTTACTAGAACCAATCTCGCATTGACAACCAGGAAACAGGGGATAACTCATATGTATTGAAAAGAGAGGATAATATCCCAATTTCCCAACAATGTATCATTCAGATCATGGAATGAGACTACCTAAATCATTTGAGAACTATACAAGGATCTATTCGTTATTACATTAGATTTGACCTATATTCTTTATGAATTTTCGAGCATTTTTTTCATTGAATGTTGAACAGTTTACATTGTTTGATTTAAATATGTTATAAAAATTGAATAATAATACATAGTTTTGAAGTAAGAGGTTCTGTCTGAACTTTTTCTAAAAAGCTGACGAGTGACAAGTGTACAAGTACCTATAGATCTGAGCCATTGTTTTTATACATGTTATAATTAGTGGTAAACATTATGTGTTATTTTATTACTGAAAAATCATTTACATCTAAAGCCATTTCTATGTTGTTTTTTTTATTCGGGTCTTTTTCGTTTTGAATTAATTACCAAATTAAAAGAAGAAATATAAGGTTCATCTGTCAACCTGTCAACTGTCGACCCGTACATGGTCGACAAATAAAAATGCTAGTTCATGATTTGATGAATCTTTTACAACTAATTGAATCACATTTCTAAACAAGCGTTAAATATATATAGCGATTTCTATCATCTTATAAATCACTATTGACAGCTCAAAGTCAACCATTCAACAAATTTAGTCAAGTTAAAAATATACATATACATGTGTATAATAAATTTTTAGGGTCATTCACTGATTTACACATCATTTAATTGATGTCGTCTACACAATCGTTGTGAATATTCATGTATAATGGAATTTTAGTACACGAATAGTTATATTCCATTTTAATTCTGTTCAGCATATTTTCATATGTAAAGGAACCACATGCTTGAATATTTTTACTAGAATATTTGAAATTTAAAAACAGGCACATTTTAAGGAAATATTTTTTCTTCTTAAAATTATATTTATAGGACTAGATATAACATTAAGGCATCTGAAAGTGCACTTGATATAAAATACATTTACAAAGACACCAGAAAGGAAAGATAGTTTAAATCTCCAGAAAATTTCCCCCTATATGTATCAATATATAGTTTCAATATGTTTCAATGTTAGGCTGGGGGCAAAGTTTTACATTTTCTTGAACTTGGTTATTCTACATTCATAAACATGTATATTTAATACATGGAGGAAAATCGTCCCCTTTTGTGAAAAAAGAACGAATTTAAAAGAAAAAGGTTAACACGGAGAAAAAGAAAAAAAATTACATTGAATCAGATTAGCAAGTTTTAAAACGCCTGGTTGATTTAATTGTTGTCGAAGAGGAGAATTCTCGATTACTTACTCATTTTTTTAAGATATAGGCACACCTTATTAAGTACATAAATATACTTGTAAATATTAATAACCATGTGTGTTAAAGTTGAAACCGATGTTAAATTTCTAGTTCAGATAATACAACGGTAAATTTGCAAACAACTTATTTCTAAAAAAAAAATCTTAATTGGGCATGTTTTGCTGGATTTTATTTTTAATTTGGCTGCAGCAATAACCACCACCCTGCACCATATTTCCTTAATTGCACTACCAGCGGATTTTCAAGAAGGTTTAGTTCGGCCTTTGATTTACAAGTATGTATTTTGGTTTCAAATTATTTAAAAACCAGACTTAAGAATTTCATTGTATGTTGTTTTACATCCCACTTGAGAATTTTTTCACTCATGTGGAGACGTCACCATATACCGGTGAAGGGCTTCAAATTTTGATCTTTACTCGGCACTCAGGGCCATTGAGCAGGCAGGGTTTTTTATCGTGCCAACGACTACCGTCACACGAGGCCTCATCCGAAGGACCCACAACTTCCACTTCAAGTGCTGTGTGCATGGCGAAGGAACAGTTGCTACCAATTTTATATCGACTTAAGCCAGGCACGACCTCCCGATCACGAATTGAGCTACTTTTAACGGAGATTGGACTTTAGAAGAAAAAAGAAAATGTCCAGTTGTGTTTATAATTAGCTGTACGCATTCATTGTCTCATTACTATCAGTGAACCTCGAGGGAATCACACAAAAAGGTTTTTTAAAAAAAACCTCACCTCTACAGCTTCACTTTTCAGTAAATTTTAACTGAAAATTTGGCAAAATTATTGGAAACTTGACATATGCAAAATCGTATACTTCTAAAGCCATTTTTAGCTCACCTCAACAAAGAAAGCGTCGGCGTCCCAGGTTAAGGTTAAGTTTTTTGGAGCAGTTTTCTTTTTAATTACTTCTGTGATTTATGAAAGATGGTTTTAGTGTGTTTTATTGTACCAGACAAAGTTTCAGATGCTGCAATTTCAGCTACCAGGTTAATGTTTTTGGAGCAGGTTAACATTTTTGGTGTGGGTTTCATTTCCAAGTAACTATAAGCCCTATGTTGACCAAACTTGCATGGATGATACATCTAAGTATGCATACTACCGGGCTTGCTTCGGATGCTGAATCTGACCTACATTTTCCGGTTGAGTGAACAGGTTAAAGTTTTTGGTGTAGGTTTTATTTCCAAGTAACTTAACATGACCAAACTTGCATGGATGATACATCTAAGGATGCATACTACCGGGCTTGTTTAAATCTGACCTACATTTTTGAGTGAACAGGTTAAAGTTTTTGGTGCAGGTTTCATTTCCAAGTAACTATAAGCCCTATGTTGACCAAACTTGCATGGATGATACATTAAATGCAAAATGCTTCGGATGCTGAATATGACCTACATTTTCCGGTTGAACGAACAGGTTAAAGTTTTTGGTGTAGGTTTCATTTCCAAGTAACTATAAGCCCTATGTTGACCAAACTTGCATGGATGATACATCTAAGGATGCATACTACCGGGCTTGCTTCGGATGCTGAATCTGACCTACATTTTCCAGTTGAGCGAACAGGTTAAAGTTTTTGGTGCAGGTTTCATTTCCAAGTAACTATAAGCCCTATGTTGACCAAACTTGCATGGATGATACATCTAAGGATGCATACTACCGGGCTTGCTTTGGATACTGAATCTGACCTACATTTTCCGGTTGAGTGAATAGTTAAAAGTTTTTGGTGCAGTTTCATTTCCAAGTAACTATAAGCCCTATGTTGACCAAACTTGCATGGATGATACATCTAAGGATGCACACTACCAGGCTTGCTTCGGATGCATCTGACCTACATTTTCCGGTTGAGTGAATAGTTAAATGTTTTTGGTGCAGGTTTCATTTCCAAGGAACTATGAGTTCTTTAATACCAATCTTGCATAGATTACATTTAAGGATGCATACTTCCAGGCTTGCTTTGGATGCTGAATCTGACCTACTTTTTGTGGATGAGTGAAAATGTTAGTTTTGATGCATGTTTCATTTCCAATAAACTATGAGCCCTATAATGAGCAAACTTGCATGGATGATACATCTAAGGATGCACACTAATGGACTTGCTTCGGATGCTGAATTGGACATACATTTTTCAGATAATAGACAAGGTAAAAGTTTGGTTGCAGGTCTATTACCAAAAACTATAAGGCTTATATAACATTGTATAAACCAAACTTGCACAAATGCTGCATCAAGAGATGAAAACTCTCAAATTTGCTTCAGATGCTGGATTTTCATTACATTTTCATGAAGAAGAAGTAGTTTAAATTTTTTATGTAGGTCTATTTCAAAGTATCAGATCAAAATTGCTTTTAAAAATATTTTCATTTTTGGAATGTATACTTTTTGTTGGTTAATTGTGTGACTTTGCCTTACTTAAAGACAACATTCGTTGAGGTGAGCTGTGTAATCTCTGATTACCTATGTTTATGTTTTCCTTTCAAGTAAATCTATTTTTTAATTAATAAACAAATTTAAGAACAAGTAGATATGTGATTTTGATTAATTGAATCACATTTCTAAACAAGCGTTTAACATATTTTATCATCACATAAATCACTTTTTGACAGCTCAGTGTCAGACATTCAACAAAATACCGGTTAAAACATTATCCAGATATTTTTTTAGATTTAAAGGGACCATATGAAACACTGGTATAATGAACATTTAAAATATGTGTCGTTTATCCAATCTTTGTTAATACTCATATACAATGGAATAATACTGTATAGACTGAAATATTATTTTATTTCTGTTCAGCATATTTTCATAGAAAATGTAGAATTGCCTTCTTGGTTAATTTTACTAGAATATTTGCTATATGCCCTTCGATCTTCATGTTCATCCATCTCCTTTGAAAACAAGCACAATTTAAGGAAATATTTATTTCCTTTAAACATATTTATAAATCTAGATCCAACATTGTAGCATCTGAAAGTACATTTGATATAAAATACATTAACATAGAGAGCAGGAAAGACAAAATAAAATTCTATTAAGTACTTGGAAGAAAACCGTCCCTTTTTTCTGAATCAGATTACCATTTTTTAAAACGCCTGATTGATTTAATTGTTGTCGGAGGGGGTACTCATCGGTTACATAGCCATTTTTCTACGAAATAAGAACACCTCATTAAACTTAAATTCCAAGTATTCATTTGGGTTTCAGATGATTAGTGATTTTTAAAAAAAATCTTATTTTCAGTTTGTATTTAATAGGATCTGGTCTTTTTCCAAAATGGTATGTACAAACCTTGGATAAATTGATTATCAATTTCAACACAATATTTAAGATAATTTTGTACAGGGTTAATTTTATTAATTATTATTTCTGATTCTTTTAAAATTAATTCATTTCTTAAAGTTTCCTTTTTAATTTTTTTTTTACACAGGTCTATGCATTACTTTTGAATGTATTATCTTTTGAGCTTTTGTTTTTATTTTGTTTTATTTCGTTGGGGATGTAAGAATTTGATAGAGAGGGAGGGTGTGTGAGGGTGTGTGAGAGTATGTGTATGCGAGTGTTAGTTTTCTTTTTAGATTGCTTCTTTTGCATGTTAAAATTACATTTTAGTCAATAAATGTCACGATGCCTGTGATATAATTTATTCTAAATTTATTGCATGCATGAATGGAGACCCCCCCCCCTAATTTATAGAAGATGGAAAAAGCGTTCAGTAATTAAGTAATACTGTATGGTTTAATCTAAACATAGATGATATTCTTCATAATAAAATTTTGTATTTTGCATTATAAAATGACTTAAGACAGTCGTTGTAATTATGATAGTATATGCCAACGTTTCAGTTTTCAACGAAAATCTCTATGCAAGATTTTTAAAAAAAAAAAAAACCACAAAGGAAATGTACATGTAGATGTGTATCTCTTTATACATATTTTTAGCTGCACATAACCTATATAAAATAAATAGGCCTTTTAGAATTTCTCGAATCCTTTTTTTAAAGTTGTTGATCTTTATCCTATTTTTAACTTTAGAAGAAATTTTCTTGATAGACGAGTGTCCAGCATCCGTGGAAACTTTAAAAATGGATTCCAAGATATAGGAGATATATATAAAATTTCATTACATTATGATTTTAAAATATTTTTATAAAAGGTTTAAAAGTAAGTGAAAAGAATAATACATTTTGTTAATAGGATGTCAGAAAAGCCTGTGATATAAAACGGAAAATCTATTGTGTACTGTGAAGTATTTATAAATTCCTGCATTTTGTTTATTGGTATGTAAAAAATCAGGTCCATATAATAAAATCTTGAAAATTTACAATGATTTTTACTATGAGGTTATGGGATTCACGGAGCAATCACTTGACGTAAGGCGACGTAACAACCAGATTTCAACCCGTTAAGCTTTGTCGCAGTTCTATAAATCTTTAGTTTTTTCTTTTTTTCTACTTTAAAATTTAATATCTATATCAAAACATGTTTCTTTTCTTCTATAATGTCTTTTGTACTGATTCGGATATTATTGAGATCTTAAAAAAAGATTATGCAGTTAATCAGTTAATTGATCAGGTATGGAAACTATGCAAACCCATATAGGCGCAACGCAACGTCCATGCGAAACGGGGGTATTCTATTGCTATAAATCTTTTTATGCACATAACATTCTTATATAAACTATTTGAAAACTTGTCCTTTGAAGGTGTAGGAAATTCCTGGCAGCATCTTGAACATTTTAATCTCTTTTTAAACATTTTCCAGTCTGCATTCATAATTTTTACAAGTGCAGTGCTCCATGACGCTCAATGACGTTCCGATTTTTAGATGTGTTTTTACGCAATGATCATTTACAAACGACTATAAAACAGTCATATACCCTCCAATTTCGTTCAAAATTTCTCCCAGTGACGTTTTATGAATACTTTAGAGGCAGGTAAAATATCATAAATCTTTTTGCGCTACAATTGTGCAATTTTTAATTTTAATAAGAGTTATATATAAAATTTCATCCGTGAAGCAAGTTTTATCAATTTAAAAAAGCTGTATATTTTTTAAAAGAGCATTAATTTTTTATATTTATTGGAAAAAAATGTGAAAAGAAAATTAATAGCGCGCTCACAATTGAAAACTTTTGTATGTGTACCAGTGTAATACGAATATCAACACTAACATGCCAGTATTTTTGCGGAATTTTTAATGTGACTGTTATCTCCATCATTTGGACGGAATTTTCTAACTTTACTTGAGAAAATTATGCTGTAGGTAATAAATACATGAGAGAGAGTGAGAGTAATATACTTCCTTCTTGCAATCGAAAACATATTAACTAATGGCTTGTTGCGACTTAACTCTGCGACTCTAGAGTAGAAGCTCTAACCACTGCGCCATGACAATGACTTCCGAGAAGTGAAAAGTAGACAATGGATAGAAATGAAACAATAAAATATTGTATTGATTGCATCAGTTGGACACCCAGCCGAGTCACTGCACATGTCATATGCAGCAAGCTACAATTGCTACCCAATAATAGATACAATATTAAAAATAAGGAGTTCATATTTGTCCATTTAATTTTTGTATCGCATTTTTCTTTCAGGATCTGTTCTGGTCCCTATTCTTTATTCTGGGGTTACCCCACCTTGTAGAAGGCTTTATCTGTCCAAATGATACTCATTGTGTGACGTCACTTCTAGTCCAAAGTGCATTCACCATGATTTATCCCTCCAAAGGGCCTGTTTATGCAGATAACGGATCAATCTATCCAGTAAATTCTGGTGAGGACTCCGTAAATGCATTGAATTTAACAAACGTTATAACTGTAGATGGATGGAATACAACAAGAAGTCTGATTACGGTTAACGGGACCATGCCAGGACCGCCAATCTTTCTGTATCAGAACCAGACCATCACCATCATAGTCAAGAATAATCTAATAAACGAAGCGGTCACCATACACTGGCACGGGATAGATCAGCTGGGATGGCCGGCGATGGATGGCGTGGCTTTTGTGTCACAGTGTCCTATTTTACCTGGACAGTCTTTTAATTATACCTTCAAGCCTCGTTTTAGTGGTACCTATTGGTATCACTCCCATATGGGTAACCAAAGAGACATGGGGTTATACGGAGCGTTTATAGTCCTAAGAAGAGAGAATGAAATTCCAATACCCCAACAACATATCATTCAGCTCATGGAATGGAACCATTTATATAATCCTGTTACGTTGATAAAAGCTAATCTAACTGATAAGCTTAAGGCAGCCAATTCCGTTCTTTTAAATGGAAGAGGGGAATTCGAGAACAACAAGGCACCATTGGAAACATTTAATGTTGACAAAAATGAAACGCACCTCTTTCGAATGATAGGGGTAGGATCTGAAGATACCCTCCTATTCTCTGTTCCAGGATTACGTCTCATTGTTAAAGAAACTGACGGATACGAATTCATACCGCGAATAGTTGATAGAATCATCATATATCCTGCAGAGAGATATGATTTTGAGCTTGACTTACAATATGCCACTGAAGGAACTTATGATATTACCGTGCATATCCTTAAAGACTCTAACATGACAATTCGGGAAGACGTTATTGGACGTGGTTACATCAAAGTTACTAACAAAAACTCATTGCAAACAATACCGTTAAATAGAGACACTGAAGTGATTTTGAATTGTCCATTTCAAGAGTACCCAATGAATCCAAACTTCACCTGTCTACCCGTTTCTGAACTGAAATCAAAAAACCCTGGGAACGGCTTTGAATTTGATACGATAGGAGTTCAAAGAACAGAAGAAACATACACTCATTTTTTAAACTTTGGTTTTCCAAATTCTTCATCATCAATTAACGGTCGAAAATTTATTTGGCCGACAGTTTCCGCTCTTTCACAGCCTGGTGATCTTGACACGTCGTGTGACGGATGTGACGCTGAGCATTCCTGTGAATGTCATCACTCCCTGGAACTGAAGTCAGGCTCCGAGGTCATTATGATTCTCAGTAACTTAGGAACCGGTATGGCTATCACACATCCCGTGCATATGCATGGTCACACCTTTGAGGTTCTAAAAATAGGCTTTCCGTCTGTTTCACCTAATGGCGATCTGTTAGCCAATGAGGATATTCAATGCAATGCGACCATGCTAAATAATCAGAGTCAATGTAACATTGCCAGATGGAGGAACACGACCTGGGATGACTATAAAAAGATTCCTGGAATAAACCTGGTAGATCCAGTTCGTAAAGATACCATAATATGCCCTTACGGAGGCTACTCAATCATTCGGATTCGGGCCACGAACCCAGGCGTCTGGTTTATGCATTGCCACATCGACCCACATATGGTCTCAGGGATGGCGCTTATGTTAAACGAGTCATTTGAACATATTGACAAATTATTGCCTGAAGGACTCCCGACTTGCCATGGCTTTAGTGGTAAAACTCCCTCCGTAATGTCCCTCCCGGCACAGGCTGAAGCTCAAGATACCTCTAACCAATCAAGCAGTAAGGCTTTTATTATCTAACATCTAGAGATACAAGACAGAAAAATTTTTATTTCTAATAGAAAGTCTAGAAAGTTTGTAAACAGTAATTCTTCATTCATTAAGAAATTTTAAAAAAGAACAAAAATCTTGAATTACCTATTAAAGAACGTTATTTATCTTTCAAAACTTTATGAAATAAGAAATGTCATGATTGATATATGATTAATACAATTTATTTTATTTTTAGATAATGACGTCACAGTGATTGTTTTGGGAGTGTTGGTTGGACTGCTTTCTCTCGCCCTTATTGCGGCTTGTGTAAAACTTATTAGAAATCAGAGGCAGCACGACACTGGTCAATCTTTGCAAATGCAACCAGTATCTAGTTAATTCTTCAAATTAATTATATATTTAATGCAAATACATGTAATATTATTAGTATTTATTACCTATATGATCATAATACGTGCTATGATTTTCCTTTGATTTAATACTCATAGCTTATTTTTTGCTTTTAAAATATTTTGAAGAATTTACATTTACATTTTCACTTTCTATTAAATATACAATTTTTTGAAGTCTACATGGTAATTTTAAGGTATCTAGCCTACATTAGGACCACATTTTCTAATCCTAAATATTAACATATATATAAAAGAAATACTATGATATTATTTCAGCATTTTAGAGTACAAAAGGATTGACCGAGAGAAATATTCAAAATACTCATTACCGAAGCAGAAATTAATCTTTGAAAATTGCACTATAAATTTTTAAACTAAAAAAAAATCAATACTTTGAACAGTGGAAAGATGCATTTGATCATAAGGAATAAAGAAAAATGATTTTAAAATATTTTTTCACCGCATAGATTTTTTTTTATAATTGAATTTATTGAATAAATTCAAATAGGAATACTAATAACTCTTCATGGACAGGACAAGGTCATAAATTAGGACAAGTACCACTCTTACATACTGATACTAAAACATGAAAATGATTTCTATATATTCTGAGTATTCAGCCCAAACATATCTGATATGGATTCACTTCTATTTAATCTAATGCTAATATGGATCAGATACCTTAACTTAAGTGTATACCATTTCTTCTTTTAATTAATTAAGATTTTTTTGTATTAAAGAAATTTTATAGAAACATATCCCTTTAACTGTTCTTTCTGTCTTTGCAAATCTTCACGAAAACAAATATTCCAATGTTTAATGGTGCTATTATTTTAACCTATTACTAGAACTTAAGAACCCCTGAAATGGAATTAGTCTTTTGCTGAGTTTTATCAGCATCTCTTTATGAAATACAGTAAAAAAGTCTCAAGATAGCAATCTTCTAAATCTCAGGGGTCAATTCGTGCTGACAATATCGTAATTAATTGCGGTTTCTTTAAAAAATATATTATACAGTTATGTTGCCCGAGGCCGCAGGCCAAGGGCAACATTTTCACCTTCAGGTCCAACAATTAAATCATATGTTGCCCGAATACCAGTCTATAACTGTTTTGTTATACCCTTCAGTGCTCACTTAATATTTAATCAATACACACGATTTTATCAATTACTTTATATGGAAAATTATGGCTTAATCAGTAAATATTTTTACTATATTTTTATTATATCAAAAAAATTATTTATGACAAAACATACTCTTTCCATCTTCCTTACCTTGCTGGTAGCAACAACTCTTGCAGCTCTTAACTTCGGCTATTTCCGTGTCGCCGATATTGAACGATAATTAATTACTTGTGACGTAGCAGTGACGTTGCGGTCTAACAATTCTTATGTTGGACCGACAGCCAGTCAACAGTGAAATTGTTAGACCGATGTAATAAACATTTCTTTTGTTGGACTTTTTTTTTAGTAATAAATATATAGAAAGCTATTTATAAGGGTATAACAAAAAAGATTAGTTTGGAAATTCACTAATAATTGACAGGGAAATTGACACTTTTTAATTTGTTATTCTCTTAAGGAATGTTTTTTAAAGTTTTGTGAGGGTTATTGGTGTGTGAATCACACAGACTTGTCACGTAGGCATATTTCATGAATTGCGCTAACGCTTCATGAAAAATATGCCTACGTGCAAGTCTTGTGATTACGAAAGCCTATTAGGATCAATCTAGAGAGAAAAAAAAATTTAAAAGGCGTTATAACGCCTTTCGAAAAGGCGTAATAACGCGAAAAAAAGGCATTATAACGCCTTTTGAAAAGGCGTTTTCATTCCAGAAGGCGTTATTACGCCTTTTTAAAAGGCGTTATAACGCCTTTCTAAAAGGCGTTATTACGCCTTTCCATTCTAGAAGGCGTTATTACGCCTTTCCAAAAGGCGTTATTATGCCTTTCCAAAAGGCGTTATTACTCCTTTCCAAAAGGCGTTATTACGCCTTTCCAAAAGGCATTATAACGCCTTTCCAAAAGGCGTTATTACGCCTTTCTAAAAGGCGTTATTACGGCTTTCCAAAAGGCGTTATTACGTCTTTTTAAAAGGCGTTATAACGCCTTCCCAAAAGGCGTTATTACGCCTTTCCAAAAGGCGTTATTACGCCTTTTTAAAAGGCGTTATTACAAAAGGCGTTATTACGCCTTTTAAAAAGCGTTATTACGCCTTTTACTTTCAATACATAACTTAACATATTTAGCCCAACCGAGGGGGGGGGGGGGTATGCAGAAATCGTACCTTTGGGACATGAATTTCACAATTAGATATAGGACTAATTTTTCAAAAAATAATTTAAACAGATAGCAATTAGATTTCCAGGAAAAAAGATTTTTAAATGCGTCATATATTTTCAATGTTGAACCAACTAAGTCCTTCTTTCATACCAGGCACACCTCTACCAAGGGTCATTGATTTCAATTGCTCATTTTACCCATGCAAATAGTTGCCTGCTTTTTTCCAAGAAAAGAGAAAAATATCTTCAAATGACATAAATTTTAATACACTGTACATGGCAAGCAAAGCTGCAAGATAAGTCTGCCAGTGGCGGATTTAAGGAGGGGGGGGGGCGCACCCGGCACCCCCCCCCTAAAATTGTCAAAGTTAACGTAAATCACAGTTTCGTCTAGAAAATGTAAATATGTCTACTTGGTAGACCTCATTTTTACCCTAAAAAAACTCTAGTTAACACACCACCAGGGCTTTGCCCTGCCTATTTTTGGCGCCCCCTCTAACTTCGAATCCTGGATCCGCGCCTGTCTGCCTATATTCTAGATCTTCACAAGTAGAGTGTTGCCTTCTCTTAATATGAATGCAAACAGTTGTCAGTGAGATGTGCAGGAATATAGAGAATTGCATAAATAAAGATGGTTTTAATTAAATCTTTCTATATTTATTAACATAAGATAACGCCTTTTCCTTTTCCTTTTCATGTAGGCCAGTAATACGAGTGCGAATGGGTAAACCCCCTCCAAACATACACCCTTTTGAGGAAAAGTCTTGCTACAGTATAAATATTATGATTAACTCTTGGTTTCTTGGTTCCTGAACATTTTGTTGCAGAATGTAAAACTGTGACAAATTATTGCATTTAAATAAATTTTTACCGAGTATTTCCCCAAATGGATTTGGCCAGTGGAGTGTGTGTGTGTGGGGGGGGGGGGGCTATTAAAAGCACGGGCCTGTTAAATGCAAAATAATGGTTATTCAAAAAGCATAATAACTTTTTTGGAAAGGCATAATAACGCCTTTTAGAAAGGCGTAATAACGCTTTTTAGAAAGGCGTAATAACGCCTTTTAGGAAGGCGTAATAACGCCTTTTAGAAAGGCGTAATAACGCCTTTTAGAAAGGTGTAATAACGCCTTTTAGAAAGGCGTAATAACGCCTTTTCGAAAGGCGTAATAACGCCTTCTAGAATGGAAAGGCGTAATAACGCCTTTTAGAAAGGCGTAATTCGCTTTTTGGAAAAGCGTAATAATGCCTTTTAAAAGGGCGTAATAACGCCTTTTGGAAAGGCGTTATAACGCCTTTTAAAAATTCGTTATTACACCTTATGGAATGGAAAGGCGTAATAACGCCTTTTTTCGCGTTATTTCGCCTTTTCGAAAGGCGTTATAACGCCTTTTATTTTTTTTCTCTCTAGATTGATCCTAATAGGCTTTCGTATGTGATTGACACACCAATAATTCACAAAAAACTTAAAAACATTCCTTATATGTACATTTTACATGTTTGGAAGCACCAAAAATATACTCAATATTCGAATTTCTCGCTGCCCTATATCGTTATACTTTTACTGACATCGCTTCTTTTCTACTTTCACTTTTCCTGTTCGGGGTATGGAGTATATTTTTCTCAGTTAGCGAGCAGAGTTTGAAGCTGTGTACGGAGACACATTGTAGAAAAGAATGTAATTTAACAAGGTTTCGAATATTTTCTCTGAAGGCTTAAATGACTGTGAATTTTAGGAGGAGGGTATGGACTTTGAAGTTAAATGCCTTGTGTTATTATCTATAATCGGTTTTAAATATTTTACCAGAAACCAATACCTTCGTATGATAAATAGTGTGTGTTTTCATGTTTTCTAAAAAAAAAAAAAAATCCTCGGTTATCAATACTGTCAAATCACATATTTTCATGGGGTTTAATTTTCGTTGTTTTCGAAAAATGAAGAGACCCACTAATTCATGTTCGCTACATGTATATATAACTACTAAACAATTCTTCATTCAAGCAATCAAATCCCCACGAACCAAGAGTTTTTCTTCAAACCACAAAAATTTAACCCCACAAAATATGTGCGTTAACAGTAACTTCTTACACAATGGTCAGAATTAATGCTGCTTTCGGATTACAAAAAAAACTTTGAAACAAAAAAAAAGAATATTATTTAAGGATTCGAGAATCTAAGGTGTAACAATTAAAGTTTAATAAATAAAATCCTTAAAATATAAGAACATCAGAGAATTCAGGTATTCGAGATACCATGGTATGAAATACCAAACTTTTACAAAACTACATTAACATTGGAACTTTCTCATGGATACACATGTGAGGTTAAGATTGTATTTGTCCAATTTCATGACTTGACAAAGCTGTTTATTAGTTTTATTTCATTTACAGTTAAGTTCCTTGATTAAATTCTCCTATTGTTATGGAGAACAGATCTGAATTTTAAAAACAGGAAATACAACTCTGCTGCTTCATATAAAAACATGTTTTGATTTGCTTAATGTTGTTTGAAATAAACTTTTTTTCTTTCGTTTAAACTACAATAATAACAAATTTAAGCAATATTTAACACTGTGTGCAAGCTATACCATATAGTAAGCCCTCACATTTAAAATCAAAACAAATTAAAACTGAAATCTTTTTTCTACAATTTTAACTTATGTTCGCTGTCGTGACAGATTAATTTTTAATAATCCGCTATCAGGAGTGTACTGTTTGTCCCATCAGTATGATATGAACGATCTTATAGTACGTGTTTACCGTTTAAGTTTTAAGCGTACCACCATAACAGCGACGAAGAAGAAAGAAACCATATTGATATTTTAACGTTTCTATTTCATATGACCATTATAAAGTGAACAATGAAAAGAAATTTGAAAGCAGCACGTCAAACTGAAACATTTTCAATTGTCTATAACAAAGTATATAACATTGTCTATAACAAGGTATTTAACATGGTTTATAACAAAGTATATAACATTGCACTCATTATTTAATTGCTCAAGAGAGAAAAACCCGCATAGGTTCATTAAACACCAATTATAAAATAAAAATATACATCAATGGGTAATTAATTTCCAGATTCCTCAATTATAAATGCTATAATCTTAAATTGAATGTTTTAGCATGATGTAGGTTTTGTTAAAGTAGAATTTTGAAAGAATAGTCAGTAGTTTACTAGTAGTACAAATAGAGGGGTTTTTATGTTCTGTTTACGAACTAAAGTAACACCAATTTCCAGAAAATAAGGTGAATATTGAGGAATAAATCATTCTTCATCTCTTCCCTTGTATTTCCATTAGGTATTATTGCATTATACAAATACGGCTGATCAAGGAAAAGCCTCCAACTTAAAGGGATTGCAATACGATTCAAAATCTCAAGTTCCATTTTTTGTGGTTTTTTGTTTCCTTTAACTAATATTTTTTGCTTATACAGAAATAAGAACGAAAGAGAAAAAAGACGAAAATACGTGAAATTAATGTAAAACAAAGTTTATTTCTTCCAACCGTTAACATCCCAAACAAACATCCAAGATATACCTGAAAGTAAAAATAATCATTATTACACAATGTCAACAAGATTTATTTTGTATAAGTAAACGAAACTTTTACAGTCGATGACAGAGTTGATTAAATACGAACTTACTTTTAGATCAAGTCTTATCCTCAATAACTGTATCTCTTCTTTTTGTAGTATTTCTTGAGTGAATAGTAGCTAGGATACTTATATTTATACACGTAAGGGGTGTATCGTCTGCGTTGGTAGAAGGGTCTGTAAGATCTAAATGACGAAAAATATGTTCTCATGCTGTCGTCGTCACCATTTACGTTGTCATCGCCGTTTCCATCCCCATTATCATCGCCGTTTCCATTCCCATTATCATCGCCATTTCCGTTATCATCACCATTTCTGCCATAATAGTAGTATTTGCTTGGGTACAAAGGCTTGTATCTGTAGGAATATGATCTGAATGGACTATATGTTCTGTATCGTCTGTATGGCCTGTAGGCAGAATACCAGGAACTCATACCATTGTCATCACCATTTTCACCGCTACCATTGTTACCATTACCATTATCATCGCCATTTCCGTTTCCATTATCATCGCCGTTTCCGTTATCATCGCCGTTTCCATTATCGTCACCGTTTCTTCCATAGTAATAGTACTTGCTTGGATACCATGATGCGGACTTGTATGGCGAGTATGGCTTATATGGTTTATATGGTTTATATGGTTTGTATGGAGTATATGGTTTGTAAGATCGGTCAGAATAAGAAAATGTCCTCATATCATCATTCATATCATCACCATTACCGTTATCATCTCCATTCCCATTATCATCGCCGTTTCCATTATCATCGCCATTTCCGTTATCATCACCATTTCTGCCATAATAGTAGTATTTGCTTGGGTACCAAGGCTTGTATCTGTAGGAATATGATCTGAACGGACTATATGTTCTGTATCTTTTGAATGATCTGTACGGCCTGTACCAGGAACCCATACCATTGTCATCACCATTTTCACCACTACCATTACCATTATCATCGCCATTTCCGTTTCCATTATCATCGCCGTTTCCATTATCGTCACCATTTCTTCCATAGTAATAGTACTTGCTTGGATACCATGATGCGGACTTGTATGGCGAGTATGGCTTATATGGTTTATATGGTTTGTATGGAGTATATGGTCTGTAAGATCTGTCAGAATAAGAGAATGTCCTCATATCATCATTCATATCATCACCATTTCTACCACGTCCGTTATCATCGCCGTTTCCATTCCCATTGTCATCGCCGTTTCCATTCCCATTATCATCGCCATTTCCATTTCCGTTGTCATCACCATTTCTGCCATAGTAGTAGTATTTGCTTGGATAATAAGATTTAGAATTTATAGGATAATACGATTTGTATGGTCTGTATGGCTTATAGCCAGAGAACCACGAACCCATACCATTGTCGTCACCATTGTCATCACCATTGCCATTACCATTATCATCGCCGTTTCTTTTATCGTCGCCATTTCCATTATCGTCGTCATTTCTCCCATAGTAATAGTATTTACTGCTATACCGTGATTTGGATGTGTAAGGATAATATGATTTGTATGGTCTGTATGGTTTATAGCCCGAGAACCAGGAACCCATACCATTGTCGTCACCATTACCATTTTCACCACTACCATTGTTACCATTACCATTACTGTCGCCATTTCTGTTTCCATTTTTGTCACCATTTTTACCATAATCTCCGTTCTTTCCAGAATATGTATAGGAATATTTAGGGATGTAAGAGGTGTAAGGATATCCCAGCTTGAACTTATACCCTCCAATAGGGAGATATGATTTACTTGGATAAATCCAGGAATCCATACCATTATCACCATTACCATTGTCGTCGCCATTCCCGTTACCATTTCTGTCATCCCCGTTTCTTCCATTTCTGTCATCCCCGTTTCTTCCATTTCTGTCATCTCCGTTTCTTCCACTTCCGTTGTCCATACCATTTCCGTTTCCATTTTCCCCGCTTCCTCTGTCGTTACTTCCTTTATCCATGCTAGATCCATAGCCGTAAGGGTTGTAGGAGTACTTTTTATCGTAATAGTCCCATATACTGCCTTTTCCCACTTTGCCCCCGTAATATGACCCTCCCTTGCCCCCATAGTAGGACGGATAATAGCCCTGGGTCGCTATTTGTCCCACCAAGCAGGCGGCAAGCACGCATAGGAATGTCAGACAGGTATCCATAGCTGAGGCAGGTTCCTATTCATAAAACAATTGTAAGTTATTTCTTTTATAGATTTTATCTATCCTGCTTGGAATTGTTATTGATGATAAACCTTCAATATCTTCATAAAACGTCTAAGATTGTTATTAAAAAGTTGCTATATATCAATATTTATATATTTCGAAAAGTATTTAGTATCTTCAGAAAACATCTAAGATTGTAATAAAACGTTTGTCATATAACAATATTTTTCTGTCGTATTTAGTATTTTCATAAAACGTCCTACACTGTACCATACATTAACAATGAGCAATATTTTGATGCTTAGAGAAGTCTTTCAAGCACTTAAAAATTGTGAAATTTAAGCTACAGGATGGCTAAGCAAATTTTCTTACCAAATGGAAGTCTCCTCGAAATGAATCAGTCTGCCAAAGTCTGAATCTTGGAGCCTTTTATACTGATCTGGACTTCATTTTTATGCATAATTACCAGAATTGCATAAATTATAGATAAGTCTACCGCTGCAAAATAAATGCAAACTGATATTTTCAAAATTGGGGCAGTAAGGGTAACGTTCATCTAGAGTTTGGTATTAAGAATGATGGATTGTTTTGGGGGATTTGAATGCATTTAATATGACCATGTGAAAAACAAGAATCGCTGAAGGAAACTTCAACTTTTCGAAAAATACATGTGAACTCAATTATATTTTACTACTTTTGATAACTAAAATTTGCAATAAAAAAATCCCGAAAAATATCTTTAAAAAATAAGTTTATTCATTACCCCCATGGGGCCCCCCTGCTTTATTTATTCGATTATGTATTACCCGCCCAAAGTTCGTAGCAATAAGGTCAAAATTCTTTTTCGTGAAATGTCATTAAAAGCATGTTAGTTGGCTATTGACATGGGTTGATTATCATAATTGATCTGTTAATTTTGTTCGGATTTAATATAATGATTAAAGATTGTATTCTAATTCTGCCAAACCGCAAATAAATCCTATTGTTATCTCCTCTTTAGACAGAACTAACAGAAAAAACTCTGCTTCGTCAGCTTGATTCGCCTTTATCTCGAGAAATCTAATTATCAAGATTGTTGCATTTAACAAATAATATTAAAGATAAGTTAAGTTGAATAAAGTAAATCAAAATTTAACTGTTGTAATTCAACGTTTTTATTATTTCAGATTTTATATTTTATGTCCTCCAATTAATTACAGGCACATTTGTATGTTTTGCATCACCGTCTTCCAATTTAACAGAATTTTAAGTTTAGAAATCTCTATTTTGAGAAAATTACAGAACATGCATCAACATTTTTATCAAAGTAAACTGTAGTGAACTATATATGAATGTTACAATGTTACTATCGTAGTTTTTTTACAGGATATGTATCATTTTTAAGAATGATTTATGTCTTGAGGTTTTAACATTAAAATATTTATCAGCAAATGCAATATCTTTTTTTTTCTGTTTCAGTGTTTATCCAGATTTTTTTTTTCAAAAAAATTTGACTGTTGATTAAATATTACATTTTACATCTCTCTGCTTGCTTAATAAGTAAGTCTTATTATGATTTATTCAGGTCAGGGCCGAATCGAAACAATGGAAAAAGCATTAGAGCCCGTTCCAGGTCGTAGCAATGAAAAGAATCATTCAGACTATCGATGCCGTAATCAACTAAATGTAATGAAGAAAGATCATTTCCACCTTCTAGGTTTTTGAATTATTTGACTCTTCTCAAAGACTTTCCAAATACAAAAACATGGTTTGGGGGAAAAAAAGTTTTAGTTTAAAAACATTCTCTCATTCTTAGTGTTATATACAATTTTTTTGGTATTTTTTACACAAAACAATTAATTGTCATATATATAAATTTTGCTTATGAAATATCAAAAGTTTGAAAAGAACTATAGGAAACGTCGCCTTTATTAAACTCCTGTGATATTTTAAAAGAAATATATTCTTTAAGTAAAATAAAAACTACATCAAAGCTTACAGGACAAATGGACAAAAGAATACATTCAACGGGGTAAATGCTATATGAATAATTTATAATTTATAAAGGAAAACATAGATATTTATGATATTTAGCGTTTTGCTCAACAGAGTATTAATTACCAACCATCAAATTCATTATTTAGTGAATTATAATAAGGTTCTACAACTAAAAACAAGCCACGAAGTACAGGAACTGTGGAAGATCTTGCAAACACGGGATCTTAACTTTCAATTAATTGATCAGAATTTTATTTTTCATTTTTATTGACGCCCATAATATTATATATAAATGCCCACTGGAACAACATATAATAAAACACCGGAACAGTTGAGTTTTCTTCTTCTTTGAAAAAAACATCCACGCCTTAGAAGCACCTGGTTCCACGCTTGGAATTTTCAGGGGTCAATGTTTTATAGTCACTTATGTTCGTAGGTTTATGAGATTGAGCACTGTTTGTATTCTTCGCCTTCATTATTGCATAAAATAGGTGTTTCTGTGACATTTGCAAATCATGCACCAGTATCTGTATATGTGCACTTGTCATAGAAAACGTAAGATCATGAAATTCAAACTTAACATTAATTATACATTCGTTGATATTTTCTTAATATTTTTAGAAGGTTAAACAATAAGTCAATTTTTTGTACCTATCGCCTTATTACACCTTCTAGATTTTGTATCCTTGATCTTTCCGATATTTCTTGTCTGCAAACAAAGTTAACTTCTTTAAGTCTTCAAATGATATATATCTAAAGAGAGGAGAACAAATAAAGGTAACAGTGATTCTCGTTTCAACAATAACTATTAGGTGAAGTGAATATATGCAAAGTCGGAGTCATATTCCTTACTTTCTTTATTTATTTCTTTATTTATTTTTGTTTTTTTTGTTTTTTTTTTTTTTTTTTTTTTTTTTTTTTTTTTTTTTTTTTTTTTTTTTTTGTTTTGTTTGTTTGTTTTTTTTTATCCTTTTTTTTTTGCAAATGATTTTTTTTTTGTGGTTTTGTTTTTTTTTAACCTTTGAAGTTAATTATGAGATTTGTTTTGGTCATTTATGTACACTACATCCATTTGTTGATTTTCAGGGAAATCAGTTTGTCCTTCCTATCAGTAATTTTTTTTTTTGCTATTTTAATTGATAACTTTTAGCTTGTTGTTGAATTTATGTCAAAAACTCTATTATCCTTTAACTTTTTGTTTGCTCAATTTTTTTTTCTTTCCTTTCTATTTAATTTTTTTTTTATGGTATGAAGAGAGTCATAAATTACTGTCCTCCATGAGATGTATATTCAATTCAATTTAAAACTGCATGTGACATCCAAGAAATCACACACACACCAAGAACTTTTCCATCAAACCACGTAATTTTGATCCCATGAACTATGATTTTACAGTATTAGGAACATATTACTACAAGAATGTATCCGAATACAGACGTGTTATACATAAAATGAAAACCATTTATGCATTGGATAAATATCATGCCTGCTGCCGATTTGCAAGTAATTAAAATATGTTTTGTTTACTTTGAACATTTTATTAAAAGCATCATTCACCACTCCTACATTTACAAATGAAAGAAGGACTAGCAAAATAAACATGAAAGCAAAAATATAAATGTTGATTAGACACGGACATTGATCTTACAAACGTTTTAAATTAACAATAAGCATACACAAATTAATTAATCAAATTCAAAGCGTTTTCAGTCCTGAGATTTTAGCTAATGATAGTAGCGCGGGTAACCATAGAACCATGGAGGGAGAAGTTTGAACCCCTTCTTAGATTTCTTCTTCTTGCCTTTCTTGTCTTTTCCGTTCTTGCCGCTGTCCTTTTTATCTTTCTTATCTCTTCCGTCTTTCTTGTCTTTTCCGTCTTTTTTATCTTTTCTGTCTTTATCCTTCTTACTATCCTTTTTATCCTCCTTGTCCGATTTCTTCATCAACCAAAATGGCGGATACGGCTTAGGAAACCATGGTTTCCAATATTTCATGGGTGACTTGTCTTTTTTGTCTTTTTTATCCTTCATTTCTTTGTCCTTCTTTCTATCCTTCATTTCTTTGTCCTTCTTTCCATCCTTATCTTTTTTCATGTCTTTATCTTTTTTGTCCTTTCCACCCTTGCTTTTCCTCATAAATGGATATTCGAATGGATACGGTCCAAATGGATAAGGCTTCCATCCCATCGACTTTTCCATCGCCTTCTCTTTGTCCTCTTTCTTTTCCTTTTTTTCGTCTTTCTTTTTATCAGAAGATTTGGATTTGTTCTTCCTCAGAAAGAAAGGTTTGGGATAAGGTCTGTAGTAGGGCTTGCGGTAGATTGGTTTGTACAGTCCATAATAATGCGGCTTGTAGGGTGGGTAGAAAGTGGCAGCTGCATTCGCCGCAAGAAATGCGAACAGTAAACCCACGAACAGGTGGCGAACCATAGTGAACAACCTTGAAAGTAAACACGAAAACATTCATTAGATGTGCAAATTATATTTACATTACAAAACATAGAAAAACACGGAATACACTTGTATATTGAAAACTCAAGGAATAAACTAATAATTGTCAAAAAGTTCTCTTCCATGCATATTGTCTCATGTAGAAAAATATGTGAATTTAATTCCCCAAAAATAAACACTGTCTGTTAACGACTGAGACAAGTTTGTTGTCTTCATATTATGCTCTAAAAATTTAGGGGGTTTTTTTTACATTTAAGGACAGAAGATAAAACAAATTTTTTAGAAAATCTTTAAGATATATAACAACACTTGTTGACTTTATATAGATTTAACTCATAGATTTTAAATTTTTCACCTAAGTACTAGTATTATTTTAAGTATGAAAAACTTGAATAGCTTAATAATTTTTGTTGAAGAAGGATATAATTTTGACCATCCAAGAAAGTTTTCAATAATTATCTTAGAAATGCATTTACTGAGAAATGTATTTACAATCAAATATTTATACCATTCCCAGGCACACATTTTTATAGCATCTGTCCTTAAAAAGTATTTACTTTTGGAAAAAAAGAAGAAAAAGTTAA